CTTGCCAGGCAGGCGCTTTTGCCGCTGAGCTAAATTCCCAGCCCCTCAGCCACCTCTGAAAAAGCCCCACTGCATGCGGCTTTGGGGGATACCTAGACGTAAACAGTAACACAAGCCATTTGCAGTGTGGCACTTGGAGTCACATTGCTCTAGATTATATTCTGCAGGCTACTTGTCCCCTTTCAAAATACGTTATATAAAAATAAAAGAAGCATTGTAGTTAGGGTTTGCAAGGGAATAGATTTAATACAGAATACATAATTTATGCATTAGTTTATAATTTTCATCCAAAAAGTCAAATGCAGAAGAGTGCAGGAGATCTGTCCACATGCCGGAGACCCAGAGGATCCAGCTGAGGGCCTGGATCCCATGCCTATGCCCTGCATGAGTCCAGTTGAAGACCTGGAGCCCACAACATCTCACGCAAGTCTGTCAAGCATCTGCACTGGGAAGGCCCAAAGGCCAGTGGTGGCAGCTAGAAAGTCTGTGCCAGCAGGCTGAGGGATCTGCACTAGAGCTAAGCAGCGATGCTCAAGGTAAGGACCAGAGCTCCCCTGAAAAGAAACACAGCTATCCTCAGTAACAACCCCGATGATGAAAACAGCTGGGTTAATACCAGGAAAACCAGCGCAGCAAATGTCTGGAAAATCAACAGCACGCCATCTTCCCCTCCGGTTCTCATTTTGTGCTGTTGGCAACAGTCCTCAGGTGGGCCTTCCATACCCAGAACTATGCTGACTCAGTTCAGCTGGGTGTGACAAGTTCGCCTTCAGTTAATTCACCACAGGCAGGTTTGTTACTTTTATACATTAACTATGTTACATATTTTGCAGCCCAAGATAATTCTTCGTCAGTCAGTGCAGCCCAGGCAAGCCCAAAGGCTGGACATCCCCAGGCGGAGGTGAGGCAAGAAGCCAAGGGATGTAAAATACATAAGTAATGAGCTTAGTAAGACACAGTCCTGCATTTAACCCCCACCCAGTGTCTCCCAGGCAGCAGAGGCCTTTGGCCTTCCAGGCCTTGGCTTTACAGAGCCCAAACGTTGATCTTCTCAGAATGTACGCATTGCTGAGGCCCTTGATGCTGTTCATATGCTGAATTTTTGTTCAGAAACTAGTTACAAAGCAAAGATCATTGTTTTTTTTAAAGGAAAGTGCCTTTCCAGGCACTGGTTGTCACAAAAGCCTCTTTCCAGTGTCAAGGTTGACACGCATGAAAAGATGATTTTGGGAAAGAGAATGGAATTGTCCCGTCCCAGAGTAGAGCGCTCCTCCGGTGCCAGCCGGCCTCAGGGCCACCCATTGCGGATGTCTCTCCCTTGGCCAAGGCCCGGAGGAGCGCAGGTCCTGACAACCTGTTGCGCCTCTGCGACAGTCAGCTGTGTGTCACTAACTCAGGCAGGCGTGGCCACTGTGTCTGAGGGACCCCTTCCTCTGCTTCTAAGCCGAGGATGTCTCACGTCTCCCGTGGCTTAGTCACTGTCTCGTCACTGAGACAACACTCCACGCCAGCAATTTAAAAGTGGAAAGGTTTATTTTAGCTCACAGTTGGTAGAAGTTTCAGTCCATAGTTTCCTGGCTCCAAGGCAGAAAAGCGTGGTGGAAGAGCCTGGGCTGAGGAGAGCCGCTCACTTCCTGACATCCAGGAAGCAGAGAGCCTATCAGGCCCGATCTTTTGAAAGTGTAATCACCCTCACTGTCAACATGTCCAACTCCTGGAGCCCTGATTCAAAAAAGTTCCTGTTCAGTAAGATGTACTTCCTGCACTGACCACCAGGCGGTGCCATTAAGCCAATTACCAGGCTTAGGGAAAGCAACTGGCAATGTGAGATGGTTTGGACATAGGTAGCACCTCAGAGTGGGGCACTAGGACTCAGTGACTACATGCAGTACCCACTCCATGTCCAACTAATGCTTTTATAAGTAGTAAGTGCTTTTAGGTTCCAGGTTCTAGAGCAGTGAGGGTGAAACTTGTAGAGCCTTTCATGATACAGACAGCCCACTGCAGCACCTGTGCCGTAGGTTCGCCGCCCCTGTTCTAGAGACGAATACAGCTGAATAAGACAAACCCCTATTTTCAAGAGCTCATAGTCTTGTAGGGAGGAAACAAGTCAACAATTACAGTGTGATATAAGAAAGGTTGTGGTAAAGGTATGCACAATTATAGAAAACCAGGGCCGGGCACAGTGGTGCACGCCTGTAATCCCAGCACTCAGGAGGCTGAGGCAGGAGGATTGTTGTGAGTTCCAGGCCAGCCTGGGCTACACAGTGAGTTCAAGGCTAGCCTGATGTGCATAGGGAGACGTCTCAAAAAGACAAAACCCCCAAAGAAATGGACAAGTACCTTTCAGCTCGGAGAATTTAAGAAACACCTTTTTTAGAAGCTGACATGTACTGGATGTTAAAAAAACTTTTTGGAGGCTCCAGCTATCTAGTCTATAGGAAAGTTACCTTTTTGGAGTTAGGGAAGTGTTCATTTTTGGGTGGAGTTTATTTTTTAATAAGAAGGGGACACCAATTTAATAAACCATATCAACCAAAGTAATCCTGGCCTCAGGAGGATTGCAGTGAGATGTGTCCTGACAAAAAATTATTATTTTTTTTTCATTTGGTTTTTTGAGACAAGGCCTCACTTTGTAGTGCAGGCTGGCTTTTGAACTCACCATATAGCCCAGTTTGCCTCAA